GGCCCGACGCCCCTTCGCCGCCGCCGCTGCCGCGCGTGCGCACCGCCCGCCGCCCCTCGGGAGGGGAGGGCAGCGGGGGAGGGCGACTGAAGAGGACGTCACGAGCGGCCGCCATGTTGACTGAGGGCAGAGCGACGGCTCGGAAGGCCTGCGCGGCGTTTTCTGATGAGGTCACGGCGGTTTCAAGTTATCTGGTGTATGAAGATTTCTGATTTTGATACGCATAAGGGAATTTTTCTTTCCTCTTTACTTATATTATTTTTTTCGTGGTTTTTTTTTTTTTGAAACAAGACCTCACTCCGCGGCAAAAACTGGCCTTAAACTCACTGCACGCCAGCCTCCAACTCCTGGCTATCCTGCGCGTGCCAACGTTCCAGTGAGACTTTGTCTTCTGCTTTCTTCCACTCTGTGCTCTTTTCTCTCTTCTCTTACTTTGTTTCGTTCCTTCACTCCCACCCCCCGCCTTCTCTTACCCTCTTTATTTCTTTCAGAGATAACGGTAATAGGAAAAGAAGTGGTAGAGTATGTGCCGGTGTCCTGGGTCCTACCCCGTACTACCACCACCACCAAGAAGAAAAGAAAGTAAATATATGGAGAATTGAAAAGCAAAAAAAAGTGAGCAAATTTCAGGAAAGGTTTTTTTTTAATTCTTTAATTTTTTCTTGTACTAGGGATTGAACAAACAGAGCATTGAGCTAAATCGTCAACTCTATTTTGAGACGTCTCAATAAGCAGCCTCGAAATTTAGACCTTCCTACCTCACCTTTCCTCGTAGCTGAGATTACAGCCATGCATCACCCCGACCCCCTTGAAAATGACTTTGTGGAAGAAAAAAAAGGGTGTGAGTTACAGGAAGGGCACAAAAGTAATGTGGATTTGGGGGTCTCGTGATCTTACTATGGTATGGGGGTTCTCCGGGACTGTTTGCTCATTTATAGAATCAAATGTTACATTCGTTATCTTTTCTAGATCTTAGATTTTCATTTATTCATTTATTTTGGAGTACTGAGGATTGAACCAGGGCCCTTCAGTCTACACCCCCCAGCCCAGCCCGTTTTCTTTTTTCTTTAGAGACAGGATCTTGCTAAATTACTCAGATTCGGCTGGAACTTGTACAGATCTTAGATTTTCTGAGTCCATGAAAACAAGTTGAATTGTTGTGGGTTTCCTTCCACAGAGCCTGACACTAGCATAGTAGATAATGAAGGACTATGCACTATTACTTCTGAGTTCCAGCTCCCCATCTGTAAAGTGCACATAACTATAGTACCTACTTCCTGTTGTAAAATCAACAATACTTGAAATAGTAAGTGGTCAGTAAACATGAACTGTCTACTGCCAAATTAGCATGTCCAAGGTCCACTGTCATGGAGAATCTAGGCAGACTGAGCCAGTGGGCTGCTCCTCCAGGTGGATCCTGCGTGGAAAAGAGGATCTGAAGAGATATGGGCTGGAAATGCCAAGGGGGAAATGTATCGGCGAGAGGGGTTACCCCAGGTAGAGCCTGTCAGGGACCTGGACTGCTGGGGTTTTTCAGGGCTTTCAAAACCTCAGGCAGGTGTTCCCTTGCCCAGTGAGAGGTGACTCAGCAGGGAAGCGAACCTCTGGGCTCACAGACCCATCGCTTCCTCCTCCTGGGCTTTTCCCTGCCAGCAGGGATGGGCTAAGGCAGGTTAAGTGGGAAGCAGGGCCCTGCTGTTGCATTTCACCCAACATTCTATCTAAGGTAGCTGTCTATAACATGGTCTCTGAACTTTGGCCTCTGAGTGACCAACTTGACCTGTCTGATTGGCTTCCCAGCTTAAGACACTGCTGCAGGTGATACAGAAAATAATTTAACTCCAGTGTGCTAGGTGTCAGATGCATTGGATTTGTGTTCCCCAAAATCAAAGAATGAATTCTAAGGAACAACAGAGGTTGAGAGTAGGAAAAACTTATCCAGACAGACAGCTCCTGAGAGATAGGAGGAGACCCAAAAGAGGACTGCCAACGAGCCTGTTATAGGCAGCTAATTAGATAAAGATATTATAGGCAGTCAGATAGGGCTAAGCCCTTGAAGGAGCCAGTGCACAAGATGAGATACCTTGCAACTGTGGGGGAGACAGACACCTCTACTGTGGGCCAGACTTCAAGACAAAAGGTGAAACAAATGCTCCGACATACTTCCTAAGGGTAAGCGTCTAAATAGAGTATCCAGGGTTGGGGATATAGCTCAGCAGCACAGTGCCTGCCTGGCAAGCGCAAGGTCCTGAGTTCTATTCCTGGTACTAACAACAACAACAAGAAAATAGGTATCCATCACCTTGAGGAAGCCAGGAAGAGCCCCTGTTCTGTGTTCATGCCTGCATGCTATGTGACTCACTTCCCCATTTGATCCAGATTTAATCAATTTTACCTGGGAAATTACGCTTGAAATTACTTGGATTGACTATAGTTTTGTCACACCTCCTGCCCACCTTTTGATTTCCCAGTTTCCCCATCTTGGGCCCACCTCTTCTTGTGCATTTGCTCTACAAAAATCCCTAGAAAAGGCAGGGTCCTCGGAACCTCCTCAGGACCCCTTCTATCTCTCTCGGAGAGAAGTTTTCTTTCCTGTGGAGAAGGACATTCTTTTGTTAGAGAAAGCACTGAGGACACACAATGATTTGTTAATTGTTTGTTAGGGTTGGGCTGGGGATATAGCTTAGTGGCATAAGTGCCTGCTTGTTTGTTAGGGTTTCTTAAGGTAAGGCTTCACTATACATCCCAGACTGGCCTTGAGTTTATGATCCTCCTGTCTCAGCCTCCCAAGTGCTGGGATTACAGGCTTGTGTTGGGTTACATGTGGAGAAGGATAATCCTTTAATTAGCTGTATTATCCTTGCTAAAAATGTTTGCTATCTGTCCATTTGTACTAGCTATGCCCTTGGTTCTCGCTCAATAAAAGGTGACTGAGATTGCTAATCGAGGCTGCAGTCGAAGAGGCTGTAAGCCCCGGATCCCAGGATTATGCCTCTCTTGCTTTTCTTGTTTCTCTTACTTTTCTTTTCATCCACAGGTACCTCGTTCTCGGGACCTGTCACCCCTGGACAGAAACGGAATCTACATGCGACACATTCCCTCAATAAATATACTCTGCTCTTCACCTCCTTTGTTCCTAAAACTTATTCTTCAGTTTTAGAGAACACGAACTCGTACTGGACATCTAGCGGGTTGGGAGTTCCTTTCTCCTATACCAAGCCCACTTCAGAGGAAGTTCTTTTGTTTTGTTTTGTTCTTTTCCAGTACCGGGAATCGAACTCATGACCTCGCGCTTGCCAGGCCGGGGCTGTGCCGCTAAGCTAAATCCCCAGCCCCCAGAGGAAGTTCTATGGAGCAAAATCATGAAGTGGGTACAATATGGGTCAAAACTATGATCAACCAAGAAGATTACAAGTGTAGTTGCTTAGGTAATGTAGATCTAATGGGGAAGAAGGTCATGTAGCAAGGGTACATGGAAGGAACAAGGGCCTTTTTTAGTAAGAGATGGATCAGAATGATATAGGAATATTATAGGAAGAAGTTTTATAGAGCAAAATGATGAGGTGAGTACAATGTGGGACAAAACTGTGACCAATAAGATTTAAGTATAGACGCTTAGGTACTATTGGTCCAATGGGGAAGCAAGTCATGTAGCAAGTGTATATGGAAAGAACTTTTTAGGATGGGATGGGTCTGAGGTCTTGGTCGCCCACCAAGGTGAATGATGTCTGTCTAGACTTCATTGGGCCATTTAGCACTTAGGGAAGCATGTAGACTTGGTCATTTCATCTTTATGTTGAGGCTTGGCCTTCAACAGATGCTCAGCCTGCCAAGGTTGTGATGTATTCTCATCTTCTGTACTGACTCCCTCGAGGGTCTAGCCCTAGGTGGCTGCCTAACATATTTCTACCTAACGTAGCTGCCTATAATACAGGGTCTTCTTCTTGGCGTCTACTATGCTCTAGACACTCTACTTACACTTTTCTTTAGTCTCCATAAGAGCTCCCTGAGATGGTATTGAGAAAGTCTCCCTGCTCTCCTATGGTCAGACGAGGCAGACAGGGCTCCTTCTACTCTCAGCAGATCCACCTTGGTTCACTCACCAGTCACTTGCACTTCCCAGAGCTCTGGTATGCTGTCCACATGTGCTGCTGACAATACTCCTGACAGTATAGCTGTTCTTAGTAATAAAGATGTTTTGATCTCTATCTATGCTGGGATCACAGGCATGCCTGGCCAGGAACAGGCATTTGAATCCCGACCTTCTGACCGCTGAGTGTTCTGGTTTGCCATGCCACTACAAGTTTTGGGGTTTGTTTTTTATTTTTTTATTTTTTTGGGGGGAGGGTTTCAAAAAAATTTTTAAGCCGGGTGTGGTGGTGCATGCCTATAATCCCAGCACTCGGGAGGCTGAGGCAGGAGGATCGTTGCGAGTTCGAGGCCAGCCTGGGCTACAAAGTGAGCTCAAGATCAGCCTGAACTGCATAGTGAGACCCTGTCTCAAAGAGACCAAAAAACAAAAAATGAAAGTAATAAAAAAAAAAAATTAATGAAACTGGGGACCAAACCTAGGGGCTATACCATTGAGCTATACCCCCCAGCCCTATTTTATCTATTTACTATTTTTGTGGTACTGTTGGGTAGCTTATTTCTAAAAAGTGGCTTACCAGCCAAACATTACTGGGTTCACACAAAGAATTGAGTGAAATGAGCAAAAAGCAGTGGCAGTTTATTTAAGAAACACAGCATGGACTATCACAGAAAGTTACAACAGCCCCGCACCTCTTGGCTGCCTTTCTTTTATCCCGTCCAAGTCTTGGGGAAAAGGGCCTGGGATATAGCTCCGCTGCACAAGTGCCTTCCTGGTAAGCAGAAGGTCCTGAGTTTGATTCCCGATACCAAAAAAAAAAAAAAAATCTCGGGGAAACCTGCAAGAACTCTGACATCCGGGTCCTGAGAGGCAGTGCTGGGATCTCACTCTTCAAGGATCACGTGAAAACCTGCTTGAGTTCTGTAGAGAAGTCCGTTTGCAGGGTTTTGGGAACTGCTCTGCCCAGGTGTCCGGGATCTTGTAGTTAATGGACCACAACCACTTAGCCAGCCGGCTTTGCCACACCCTAAGCCCATCTCAGTGCTAGGGTTGAACCCAGGGCCTTGGTGCTGCACCACTTCCCCAGCCCTTCCCAGCCCTTTTTATTTTGGGACAGGATCTTGTTAAATCACTAAACGGTCCAGACTGGGCTGGAATTTGTGATCCTCCTGCCTCAGCTTCCTGAGTCACTAGGATTGCAAGCTCATACCAGCACACCAGAGCCAGGCACGGTGATGCACGCCTGCAATCCCAGCACTCGAGAGGCTGAGGCAGGAGAATTGTTGCGAGTTCAAGACCAGCCTGGACTACAAAGTGAGCTCAAGGCCAGCCTGAACTGCATAGCGAGACCCTGTCTCAAAAAAGACAAAAAATAAAAATAAAAAAAACAATACCAGCACACCAGGTGACAAGTTTTTACATGTAACCAACTCCTTTTTCTGCCAAAATAAGCAAGAGGAAGTGGTGTGTTCCCATGCTCAACTTCTGGAGCTTGCACCTTGCTGGCCTTGGGGTATTGTTGAAATAGATATGTGTGCGGAATGTTGCTCTGAATGTCTGGTCTGAGAAACTGATTCCACATGTGTCAGAGCTGGCAGAGTCGAGATACACCGCCCCCCCCCCCGCAGCTTTCTCCTTTTTTAAGCAATATCTTAGTTACTTTTTTTTTTGCCATTGGGACATGTGGTGGATTGACAACTGGTGGTCAACTTGTAACACCAAGCCGAACTGAACTAGCATGGTGCTGGGTGTGGGAGGCCCACCCGAAGATTGTTGCCAGCAGCCTAAGAGGCAGAAGTAGAAAAGAAGAGGAGAAGCTATAGGGAGCTGTTGGTTTTCTGGGAGGAGCTTGTCATGCTGGCTTTCCTGATGAACTAGGCTGTTCTTATCGTCAAAAGAGCTTGGGAGTGTGGTGTCAAGGAGAATGGGTGTGGTTCACTTTGGGGGAGCTCTGGCCCTCACTCAGAGCATCGCTTCCTGGCTCTGGAGGAGATGGTGGTGCACTGCTCAGTCTCCTGGAGAAGCTTGTTGTGTTGGCTTCTCTGATGGGAACTCGGCTTTCCTCATCATCAGAGGAGCTGGAGACCTCACTGCTGCTAAGGATGGCTGTGGTACTTTTCTGGGGAGCTCTGGTTCTTATGTTGAACATCGCTTCCTGGCTCCAGTGCAGATCCCTCAGCCTGCTGGCACAGCTCCTTCATCCTGCTGGCACAGACTGTCTAGATTCCACCACTGACCTTTGGGCCTTCCCAGCGCAGATCCATGAAACAGGCCTGCATGAGATATTGTCATGGGCTCTAGGCCTCCAGCTGGACTCGTGGGAGGCATTGTTCTGGGCTCTAGGTCTTCAGCTGGACTCATGCAGGACATTGGCATGGGATCCAGGCCCTTGGCTGGATTCTTTGATCTTTAGTGTGTGGACAGATTTCCTGCACTCTTTTGTATATGACTCTTTAGATGACTATTTTGTTGTTGTTGTTGTTGTTGTTTGTTTTTGGTCTTCTTGAGACAGGGTCTCGCTATGCAGTTCAGGTTGGCCTTTGAGCTCACTTTGTAGCCCAGGCTGGCGTCAAACTCACAACGATCCTCCTGCCTCAGCCTTCCAAGGGCTGAGATTACAGGCATGCACCACCATGCCCAGTCAACACCCACAATTTAGGAGGAGAGATTCATTGGGCCCATAATGTGTAGAGGTTTTGGTCCATAGTGGGCTGGCTCCAAAGCAGGGTGGCCCAGTGGAAGGGGCTGGGTGGAAGGAAGTTACACAGGAAGCAGACGGCTGAAGGAAGGAAGAAGGAGATGGACCCATCGGCCTCTTCCAATCATACCCCACTTCCCACCAAGAGTCAGCTCTAAACCTACGTGATCCCATCACCTTCCCAAGTTGGCCCCTGAGAACACACAAGCCTCTTAGGCACATCTAGATAGAAACTATAACAATGCAAGAGGCTGCTGATCTGATAGGAATCCTCCAGACAGGCGACCAGCAGGCCACCCTTCGCAGCTCCTCGTCAGCTCCCAGTGGGACACATCCTCAAAGGCCTCCCTGATCCTGCAGGCCAGCCTGGGCTTCACTTCTTCCTGCTGGTTAGGACCTCAGATGACCGACTTGGTTATTTGCAGGGCACCACTGTGTGCTAAGCTTGTCCTCGTTGTCGGGCATATGGCCACCAACAAAGGTCTGCTCCTGTGATTTTGCATCTTGGAGGGAAAGTAGACTTGACTGGATGGACAGATGGGTTGTTATAGTGTTACAATGTTGTTATAGGAATGATGCAGACCTCCAAATGATACAGGGGAAATATTACAACTCCCAGCATGCTAGATGTTCTATACACTGACTTCGTGTTCCCCAAAATCGAAGAATTAATTCTGAGGAACAGTGGAGGTTAACAGTGGGAAATCTGGCCTGGAGATATAGCTCAAAGGCACAGCACCTGCCTGGCAAGTGCGAGGTTGTGATTTCAAAAAAAGGGTGGGAAATTTTATGGAGGAAAAGATAGTTTCAGCCTAAGAGAGACAGGAGGGGCCCCAGAAAGTTGGTTGCTGAAGACTCCACTTACAGGGGAAGCATAATAGGGCCAGGGATATAGCTCAGCGGCACAAGCACCTGCTTGGTAAGTGCAAGGTCCTGAGTTCGATTCTAAGTACCAAAAAAAAAAAAAAAAAATCATACTGTTTGGTCAAATGAATATTTGGTCTTACATTATCATGTAGAAATATTGCTCACATTGGAGCAGCATACACTAGGACATGCTTTTTGATTTTCCTGGAGTTAGCGGTTGCCTTGGTTTTATGTATCTGTGAATCACATTCACCCCCAGCCTTTCCAGCACAAGT